ATTTCCAAATAGCCCAATGTTATTTTTATCAGCCATTCCTATTCGCATTCACACCTAACCTACATTCGCCTGTTCAAAGTTGAATCCAGGGCTCAAACAGAGCCAGTTGAGAGGCAATAACCCGGAGAAGTTCAGCAACGAAAGGCAACGGCAATGCCATTTTGTGCTTGCGGAAAGCTTAAGTTCCAGGATCGTGCAGAGCTTTTGCAGTCGTTAAGGGGGAACAAACCCTTGAAGGCAAGTGATGGATGCCATCGTTACCTACAGCAACGCTCCAGCCAACCTGCTTCAGTGCTTCTCTATTAGGGGGTCCGGACCAAAAGCAAGGATGGGTCGAACCTCAGCAGCTAGAGGCAAATTCGAACCTGCTGTTAGTCCTAATATTTAGCAGCAATTACCCAATTTTTCATGGAATAATCTTTATTTTCTTGAAATTATGAACCATACACGTTTCTGGTCATAAAATGTCAGGATGTCTTTGCTTTAAGAATCCCTACGCTGGTTTGCATGAAACTTTCTCTCCCTTGGGGTGCCTCAGGGCAAGTTTACATGAGAGTCTGCAAAAACAGATGTATGCTTGATACCATTTTTTCAAAGCCTGGACCAAGCCCTGACAAATAATCTGTGTCATTTTTCAGGCTGAAGCAGTGCTGGCACAGGCGCCCTGACCCTGCTATGTCAGAGAGCTGCTGCTCTCTCCAGCTACAGAAGCTATGTGGAAAGAAAGCGATCACGAAGCGGAGCAAATACATTGCTCCTCCAGCCTCCTACCACCTGAGAAAATAAGTAACTTCTCCCCTTGCCACTGGATTGGGCTAAAATAAATAACATTAATATCTCAGAAGAGTCACCAAGTAAAGCAAACACCTTCCTTGCATAAATGCAGCAAGAGCCAGAAACCATTACTATTGCCATTTCTGTCCACCCTCCTCCAAACTTTTGCCTGTTCTTTCTACTCTTCCGAGGGTAGCAATTTTCCTTTTTCATGATGAATAAGAGACCCTGGGTTGCAGAGGCTCCAAGCACTCACAAAATGGAGCTGCAGGAGGACCCAGCCCCGCACACGGCTCCCGCGCTGAGCATCAACCAGAACCATCGCACGCCCCGTCCCTGTTAACAGAGAGCATCTGGCACACAGGACTTTGGGTATCTTCCTCATCCATTTTGCAAGTGTAAATTCCTACTGAATGGCAGCTCCTTCAAATACAGAGGAGCATTAAATGTAGTTCGTGACGCCCCAGTTTTATCCGGAGCGAGTCAGAGCGGTGCTGCTGGAGATCAAGCCAGCCTCCCAGCGTGCCACTGATGCAGAGGGCTCGCTCTGCTCCTTACCTTGAGCCAGATTCCTTTTTGTAGCACAACCAGAATATCTCCTCACAATAACCCTAAAAATATCCGTATTGTACATCGAATGATCTACAAGCTGAATGATTTCTTCGAAGGGGGAGAGAGACAGTCACTGCGATACTAGAGTCGAGCGAAACTGAGAAAGACTGATCAACTGAACCGTTCCCAGCAGCAAATCTGTCTTTACCTTATCAACTACCTTTCAGTCATTCAAGGAGTAACACCCAAATTTTGAGGCCACGTTGACTCTCGGTTACTAGAATCTGGCACACACAGTCTATGCAGAAGCCAGGTGCATTTAATTCCAAAAAAAGCAAGCGACAGTCCTGTGCATCAAAACGCAAATACAAACATAATGTGTGCCAAACGAGCATAACCCAGGCCACGCTTAAAGCTCCCACGGACCTGCAGAAATACTAAGTGCAATGCCAAGAGGCTAGAAAATCATAAAAGCTACCTAAATCAAAGTCCATCTGTGCATTTCGGATGCCATACAGCCTCTAAAACGTTATAGCTACCTGAACTGTGCTCATGGACTTCTAAAAACTTTAATCGGGCTAGAATGTAATTATCCTTAAACCGTTCTGCTGGCAAAACATCTAGCACGGACAGTAAATAGTGTTATCAGAATAGGAAAAAAAAAGAGGTGCCTTTGCCAAAGTAAACCGCGGCTACTCAAGGAGGGTTCACCGACAGAGTTGCGTGCCAAGGTTTGCCACGGTAGGCAAGCCCGGAGGCAGCTATGATGGCCCCTTGCCGGGCCGCTGACCCGCAAGGTGGAGCTGGCTCCTCAAGGAGCCGGGTGAGATTAAACCTGGGAGCATTTAATTAGAACAGAGGCAACTTAAGGCTGTCACCGCACATCAGCCACCCAGCTCTCAGCCAGGAGAGCCGTCCGCAAAGCTTTCCCCGCGTCAATCGGCTCTTCGCGCCGGGGTTCCTGCCCCGCCACCCAAAACAAAGCTGAACCTCGGCGGCAGCCGAGACCCAGATCCACGCTGCGGTGTCAGTCTTGCTCTTGCCAAAGCACTCTGCGCCTTAGAGGTTGCCTCAAAAATGCACTCGCTGGGCACTGAATTTCCTCAGCCTCCCCGGGAGCAACGCAGATGTTAAAATTGTACTTGCTTGCAAGGTCCGTCAACTTTCCAGCGCCCGCATTGCTATGCATAGGTCTCTCTCTTAATGACCAGCGCTGATGCGGATTTGCCTGGGATTGTCATTGAGACAATCTGTCCAGAGCCAAGTCCTCTGCCGGGGACACGGGCTCCTTACCTCACCGAGCGCCAACTCACCAGCTACTGTCAAGGAAAGCACATAAGCCCTCAACACCAGCCTGGAAAAAAAATCTCGTTTGAGATCCTCAAGCTCTATAGACTTCCCAGTAGTTAAAAATATATGTATTCCTACGAAATAACCACTTGACAGCGCACCGACCCACAGCAAACCTGGTGTCTTCCTCTCAACAGGTCCATCGGTGGGACAGTCTCTCGGCTGACTCGAGGAGGTTGCTGCTAAGCTCGAATGAAAAAGAAAAAAGGAAAAGAAAAAGGCCGAGGTCTACAGCAAACAGCTGCAGCGACTTAAAAAAAAAAGCGAGCTCACCAAAGGAGACAGGAGGGGATTCCTAGATGTCAGCAGGCAGGGAAATTCACCACCTGTTTCACAAGGTTAGCAAGCTGCCAGCGCGTCCACTAATAGATCATTAATAGAAGAACAGTGGGGTCTTTGTGTCAAAGGCAAATCCCCCACCTGCTGGTGAATGTAAATCTGACCCCACCGCCGGCAGGGGAGGGGGTGCTGGCTCCAGTTTTAAAGCCACTTTAAGCAAACGCAATTTTGCACGTTGCGTACTTTCAAGACCTCGCTCGGGATGACGTAGTAGGCAGGAATCGGCTGCTCCACATGGGAAACCTTGACAAAATAACAGCCAGAAACGCTCCGGCTGGAGCCCAAGCACCACCGTGGACGCAGGCAGAGCCCAGCCTGCAGGCCCTTGGAGAAGTGACAGTTTCATCGCATCCAGCAAAAGGCGGTCACATCATCGATAAATGAGAATTTGAGCACTTGCGATCACCAGCGCAGCCAAAAAAGGCCAATTCACAGACAAGAGGGGTCTCCGTTTCTCTTCTCTTCCCATCTCATGCCTTAATGCTTCAACCCCAGCTGCATTCGCACTGGATCAAAATAGCACTGGTTAAAACGTTTCTTGCAACGTGCTTACTCCAATGTTTGACATTTATACCCACGGATCACCTTATAACCACACAGAGGTGCGGACGGTCTGAAGGGAGCTGCAAACTAATTAAAATCTTCCCAGCAGCCACACTGGAGATCAGCCAGAGCAGCTTTCTTGCAAACCAAAAAGCAGCCCAATAAATGGGCTAAATAAGTTCTAGCAATGCTTTCAGAGCCGCTTCACAGACCTTCACGTGCCAGGGATGGAGCTCAACGACAGGAGCCCCCAGTTATCGCCGAAACAGCAAAACCAGTCCTCTGCGCTGCTGTTCAAGGGTCTTCCTCTGGGAAACCTTTGCGATATATATCCGAGACATCACCTTTGGGATAATATTCTCACTGCTGTTTGAGAAGCCATTTTACCACATTCGCTACACCTCAGCGACTGATAAAAGGGAATATTTTCTCAAGCAGGCTAGGGAAACGAAGACTCTTACTGGGATCACTGTTGACACCACTTCTCCCTGTTTTCCTGAAATTCACCCTGAACCACTTGTCTTACACAGGGGAGATCCTTGCACACTCTCACCAGATCTGGCTCGGAGCAGGGGAAGTGCTTTCAACTCACGTCTTACAGCCACCACCATCGCAAAGGTATTCACTAAAAGGGGGGAAGCACTCAGAAGCCAGGAGATTGATGGAGACTTCTGGAGAGAGAAACCCCACAACTCCTCTCCCGGCAGCGTACCCAGGCTCCCAGCTGGAGGAGGTCGCATTACGCAACACGCTCGCATCCACCTCTGCTCCTAATGGAAACGCGGCGAGATCCTATTAAGGCTTCATAGCTGGAGATGCTGCAGCTGGAGACAGCAGCAAGGTTTTGCTTCGGAAGCTGGAGGTCTGAAGTCAGAGTGCAGCCCGGATAGCCTGATGCTCCTCCTCCCTGCCAGCAAAATCTTTAAAAGCTGCACTGAGATTTCTTTTTTCCTACCGTTTTTGAGCGCCCTCCGCACACAGGAGTGCCCAGCCGTTATCCTCCATCTCACCTCTGCTCCATGCCATCCTAACCCGAGATGCTCTGGGTGCAGAGCTGCTCCCCATTCCTCCCTCTGCCCCTACACCAAGCTCCCTGCCCTGATGGGTTTTCGCAGTACACCTTGACCTGGCTCCCAAGTGTCATCGGCATATGCCTCTTCATCACCGCGAGCCTGGCAGACCGGACTCCAGGAGCCGTTCAGAGCCAAGTCTTGCATTATAGGATAATGCTGATGCCTTTACATAGCCCGTTTCCTCGCTCCCGCTGCTTAATGATGTCCAATTCCATTACCATCCAAGACATGAACGCACTGTACGTCTAGTAAACACACTCGCCATCCCAACACAATCTGCAGAGCGGCACAAGGGATTGAACAGGGAACACCTGGAAAACCAGCCAAGCCGGGAAGGATCCCAGACAAATATAGGTCTCCAAGGAGTATCTTTAGATTAGCAGGCGGCTCTGCCCCCACCGAGACCCCAGGATTTACCTAAATAGCTCCCTTCATCACAAGCAGCCCAGCGTTCATTGCTATTTTAAGCCAGCACCCTGCCCTACTTCCGAAGGAACAGCCTGCCTTCTCCTGCCCATGCAACCGAACGAGCACCAAAGCCATTACAGCTAGAGGAGACAAATTCCTCTCGACTCCACCTTCTTTTATTAAATGAAAAATACTATTTCGGCACCGTACCTAGCTAATATGGGGTTCATTTGTTCTAATTGCTACAGAATGGGCCCTCCAAGCAGCCGGCACAGCCTTGAACGGGGGGAATGGGATTAACCTTTCCCAGGCCAATATCCAGACAGCAGGAAAACAGAAAAACCATATTAAACGCGGGGGCTCCAGAGGGGCATGACCTTCCCTCCTCTCCGTCCCACCTCCAGCGCCGATCTGAAGCATCTGGTGTTATTCTCAGAGGAAATAAATAAAAAGGCAGCCCAATCTGCTTTCCTTGACACCTTATCGCGGTTTTCTAAACAGGTTTTAGTACCCAAGGCTAGCGTTAGGGTTTAGGTTTTGCCACCAGCGGTGGCATTTCTGTCTGGCAGCAGAACGTCTCTGTTACAGGCTACAGAAAGACCTGGCTCTGGGAGGTTTCATACACAAAAAAGGGGTACCACTGGCTCTGTTTGGGGCAGACGAGGGCTACAAGAAGCCTATTAGAGCTGAACAGCTTGCGTTACCCTCAGATGTTTGCAGAAGTGCCGCTTAGCGCTGCGTTTGACTTCTGATTCATTTTTGGATGAAGTGCCACATGATCTGGCAAAATCAGCACCCATTCTGCAACACCCAGCCTCAGCGCAGCCAGAAACCTGCCCCTTTTCTTAGCACCTCCCATTTACAAACAACAAAGCATCTTTCCTGCAAGAAAGACCCCCAAAATACCAGATTCCCAAGTAATTTGGAGAGATCCTACAAGGTTCATGCTTTAAGCGCGATCTACACTCAAGACCTTCTTGAGCTCTGTCCAGACAAGTTGCTGTACTATGACACAACTTGCTTTTTAGAGATCCCACCACCGCATCTTGACTCAAATGGTATTTGCACTTTTCCTCTGGCACGCCCGAGGTCTGACAGCATGCACCTTGGCCTTTATCGTCACTTTTGGCCATTTCTGCAGCTCTTTTCCCTCCTCCAAGTCCTCCTTATTAGCTACAAAATGGCAATGCTAAACAAGACAAATGAATTAAAGTATTACAGGAGACAAACATGAAACGAACAGCAATCACAGTGATGGTACTACATATTTCTTCTTTTCAACAACCACAATTTCCCTTGCATTTAAGATTTGCCCGAGCCTTCCCTTGCTTTGCATGCAATTACAAAGCTACTTTGACTTTCGTATCGGTGTGTGCTCTGTTATAAAAATTCTCTACAGCTCCCAACCTGCCGCAACTGGAAAAAGCCCAGTGCTCAACCATCCAACTGCATTTGAAGGGTAGTAGTTTATATTAAAAACAAGGTAGGAAGAAAGCTACACATTTTTCATAAACTGAAAGCGTCTTCAGCCAGCAAGATGAACTAGCACACCCTCTGAACCCTATCCACTTGGCAGCAGCGCGGGGGAAGCTCTCCAAAGCCTCTGAAGACGGCATCTATTGATCTGACGCCGGTTTTTGGCTCCCCAGAGGCACAGCTTCTGTAGAAGGCACCGGGAGCCTCGCTGAACAAATCCCGTGGGATTGGACTCCAGGCCTCTAGCAGCATCTCCGCCACGCTACAAAGGCAAGGCGTTCGCTGTGCGGAGAGATGGGGAGCAGCTCCTCGGGTGTTTTCTGTTCAAGCGTGACTTCACCGGAGCCGAACACGCACGTGGTATGAGGTATCGCTGGGGAAAGCGTGCTCAGATTGCCCCGCCGTTCCTTTGCTCCCAGAAACCTTAATTAAGTATTAAACAGATGATCTACAACGTATCTGGGAGGTTCACACCATGAACCAGACAGCTGATATGTAAGAGAGCATCACATCAGGGGTCTTACATTTCCCCCCCCCTTCCAGCTGGAAAAAAAAACAAACTGGGTATGCAGAAAGGTGCCTGAAAAAGCCCAAGTCCTTACAAAAGGACAGCAAAGCACAAAGTTGGAAAATCCACTTATTTACAGGACACCTTTAGCTATGGAGTCTCAGCACCGGTCCCAGCTTTACCACCCCACACAATTCCTCCATATCAAGCCACTGACGATGGCCCATCTACAGAAAAGCAGAAACCCAACAGTACTTCATAAAACACAGCACAGGCACTATTGAACAGCACATGGATTAGGCACATCATGCTGACTACCGACAAACACACAACGGCTGCCAAAAAGAGGGCACCAGGTCCTAGCCGCTCCTCCTTCACCAGCTTTGTAACGGTGCAACACTTTACTAATACACGCATCTAGAAAATCGCTCTAGATTATTTGCTCTGGCTCAGCCAGGTGTCTAAATACCAATACCCTGGGTTTTTTTAAAGAATTTTTCATGGATGCAACTGCAAACACAGTAAGCCGGGTGGGTTTCCACCGTTCAGCCGTGCTCACGTGTCTTCGGAAAGGATCCTCGCAGCACACAGCTATGCTTACCGTCGCCGTTGCTTCCCAGAGGAGGTCACGCCATTCAGGTGTGATTCGCTGGAGGTGGAACGAAGCAGGATCACTTCTGTGCAACATAAAGCTCTGCAGGTTTGTTTTCACCGGGCACAGGGTGGGAAGGCACCCACCGTGCTCGAGTCCCGACCTCGAGCATCCAACCTACGTGCTCCAGGGGCACTGCAGCAG